CAAACTTGGACCTAGATTCGTGGATTCCGAGTTCAGAATCGAATGGCTATGGTTGTTTCCCACCCTGCATTGGCCGGGCCGGTCCGTAAGCCGCTTGAATTGGTTGCTCTTTTTCTGGTTGCCATTTCTTGCTATTTCTGTTTCTGTTTTGTGTCTGTTCTGCTTCGTTTTCGTGTTCGTTTTCATTTTCTGCTGTGTTTTGAATTTTTTCGGCTGTACAAATTTGGCTCGCTGGCTGGTTATAAAAATTGTTAATTAAGTTAAGTTTGAAATGTTGTTTTATGGCTCTGTTGCGCGGCCCTACCCTCCATGGGCACGGCCCAATGGGATAATAAAGGCCCTGAAATGGAGAATGTGATTTCAATTTCGTTGCGGATTTTATATAAATAGTTTCAGGATTGGCAAATGCCATAAAAAAATGTGAGTGGCCTGGCCTGTTCCCCGTTCCCATATCATTTCCCCATTTCATACGCCCGCTCAAGCACACTTCACCTTCAACCGCGACGAAGATCGTTTTGGGTTTCTGTGTTGTTAGTTTTGGCAACATCATTAGGGGATTTCTCGCGCGCACTTCACCCTAGCAGCACCTTGCCTCCACCTATATGTATGTGTCACTTCTTTGTTTGCCTGTGCTTGAGGGCTTCTTTCGACTCTGCCTCTCTGACTGCACTATTCATACTGTCCCAGGCGAGAACTTTCCAAATGGCGCATTGTGCTGCTTATCTTTGTGCTCCAACAAGATGAAGCAGAGAAGTGCTTACATCTGCGGCACAGCCAGTGCATTGCAATGCAGCAACAGCAGCACCACCACCAACACCGTCAACACCAACAAACACCAAACGGAGAAAGACGTTTGCTGTTATTTAAATAAATCGCTGCATACTTAGCGGCGAAGCATTCATAGAGTGTGGGGGAGAGTGTATTGTAGAGTGTGGCATAGCCGGAGCCTGACTTTAAATCTCATTTGAATTATTATGGAAAAACGCTCGACAGTTGCTATGTTCGCTCTTAGTCAGCATTCTGCTGCATACTTTATGGCGTTTTAAGTGCTGCGAATACTATGGCCTGTCAGACGTAATGCCACAGACGTCTGCCTGCCACTATGCAACACTCTGTGCATTACGAGTGCCCATCCTGCTCCTGCTCCTGCTCCTGCAACTGCACCTGCTCCTGACCCACTTTTCCAGCCGAGCGCGAGCGAGTAATTAAACATGCAACCGACAACAAGCCAAAGGCCGAGCCTGTCATACGTGAAACATGAGAGGCATCACACGGTGGCTCTCATCGGTAAGCCGAGCAGAGCGGCGAAAAAACGCTAATTTCCACCGCTGGAATGCGCGGCGGAACGTCGAGGACTGCCATTGAAACCCAAGCCCCAAGGGGACACCGCGGCAATGCACTCGCCGCATGGTTAATCAAAATGATATGCCTGTGAAATTATTAAAAATATATATTCGAGTGTGTTGCCACAAAGAGAGAGGGGGAGAGAGAGTGAAAGTGAAACGTGCAAAGCCAACGGATCGGATGGTCATTTTTATCTCATGGAATTCAGAACATGAAAATCCCTTAATTTTCATTGGAAAATAGTCCATAATTTTGCACCACCATAAATTACAAAATTCGCTTCGACTCTCATTGATTTCCACACGCCATTAGCTGCTCGTGCATTTGGGAGGTAACGGCAACGGCAACGGCAACGCCTCCGCGAGGTCTGTGGCAACTTTAAACTGCCAGCCACCGCAGCTGGCTCTATCGCCGCCCATTGCCACACCGTGGCAGAGGCAAGTCAGGACGCCACTTGATCATTAACAGAGCGAACCGCTAGTAGGGATGTAGGGAGGCAGCAGAGCAAGGCATCGTCATACGATGCGATTCCCGGGATGCCAGTGGAGGAGCTGCGCTATTTAACAGCTTCGAGCAATTGCAAACGTAAATCAAATGCCACATTCTGCAGTGGCAGTGGTAGTGGCAGTAGCGCTCTCTTCCCGTACCCGCGCTTATTTTATTTGCAATTTTTAACAACTTGAAAGTTGTGCAGGAAAGCGGCAGGCAGGCAGCCAGCGAGGCATGGGAGCATCCTGGCGATGGACTCGAGGACCACAAATTCCAGCACGAGTTGCCGCTGCCAGGAGGTTGTGTGCCAGCATCGTGAGTCACGCTCGCATCGCTGTGCCGCACTTGGTGCAGGAGGAAGTCGGTGCTGCCTGCCAACTGTTGGCTGCTGTTGCAACATACACCCACGCACACATACAATTTTGATTTATTATTTTGATTCCTGTTACTTTACTACCTGCCAGGATGCAGAAGGATCCAGGGACCTGGCCCCAGACTCCAGCCTGCAACTCGTCGTCGTCGATGTTTTTCTTTATTTTTATTCACACGGTTTTCTGGTTTTATTGCTCCAATTACTTCATGTACTACTATTCGCCTTCGTTCTCTGAGACAGACACAGGCACAGAGCCCCCTCCCCTCACCCACCATCGGTCATTGTATGTGGCACTCGAGTAGACTTAATACTTCTCTTCCTGTTTTTTTATTCTCTCGACTGTTTTCATTTATCGCATTTGGTGCGCAGACTTTCCGCTGATTTCTCCCCGCCATATATTGGCTGATCGAGTGGAGGAGGCTTAATTTTTTTTATTTTTTACTTTATGGATCAATAATCCTGCCACTCGCCCATTCAAAGGGTTCATATATCCTGGCCGCAATCCTTGAACGTCCCGCCAGGCATGCAACTATTGCAAACAACTTGGCGGCGGCTCCCAGCACTACCTCCAGCCTCTGGGCCCACAACTTGATACCAATTAAGCACTCACAATCACATGCTGCCAAGCAGGCAAGCACGAGCCCTTGCACCCACCCAGAGATATTTTATGCAGAGTTTTTTCCATCCATGGTGCTCCCCTCTCGACACCTGTTTCCAGGATGCGGAATGCGGAATGCAAAACGCTTAACTGCACATAAAATATACAAACTAACTTAGTTCGCTCATATCGCTGGGCATAACTCATGAGTGCAGTGCCATGGTAAGCCATGTGCCATGTGCCCCACCTTCATACCGCATACCCCATGCGGCACTTGGCACTTGAAGGAGAGCTGACTGCACAAAAACAAAACGAGTGACAATAAAAAGAGGAGCACAACAGCAGCACAAACCAATGCCTAACGAGCAGTACAGCTCTGGAGGTTCTTCGGCAGGCAGCGCTGGCAACTACTCTTTCTCTTCCAGGCAGGGCATTCAAATGGAGACAGCAGATCTCTCTAGAGAGCAGATCTCGGTATGAATTGGTTTCGATGAAGGACTGATCTATGTAGCTACTCCGAGGGAGCACATTATTAGAGCATCAAGGCATTAGCATATCAAAGATATCTGTTTCCGTGCCACACTCTGGGTCGCAGTCGCACCACTCTTCATTCTCCATTCCGCTAATGGCAACTGCTGAGTGGATGCAACAAAGCGTGTGCGCTCACCGGGGAATATGGTAAGTGCGAAGCAGGGGAGGGACGGTGCGGGTGCTTGCAGCTGTGGTGGGTTATGTATAAATTCATAAAGCGAGCCACACGACAGCAGAAACGGCAACGGGAACGGGAACAGCAACGGCAACAGCGACTGCGGCAACATGTTGTAATTGCGTATTTTATAGATACTCGTATGCGCGGACCTTTCAAGAGTAAGGGCAGCACTCGCGGGGCAGTGGCAAGTGGTGGCAAAGGGGGCGTAGGGGGGAAAGTTGTTGTATCTGCCATTCGGTCTGTTTGCTTTTGTTTGGTGCGGAAATGGCAGCCGGTGTGCAGCGAAATATTGCAGCAGCAGCAACGGCAACGGCAACGGCAATAGCAACAGCAAAAACGACATCACGCATACGCCATGTTGCGCCATTTGGAGTTGTTGGCGTATACGTAATTTTTATTTTACAAGTAAAAGCGAACAAAAAACTAAAAATAAAAGAGTGAAAAAGAAAAACATTCAGTGCTGAAAAATGCATTCAGAGCCACAGCAATAACAAAAATGGCACACAGAAGAGAGCACAGAGAAATTTTAATTGCTCAAAAAGCGTCGACAAGGGACACGCGACAGCATTGAGAGAGGCAGAGAGGCAGAGAGGGAGGGAGGAAGGTAGAGGGAGAGCAGTGCAGGGCAAACTAAATGTACGTCCGTTATGTGGAGCGTTCCTTTTATGAATTTTAATTCAATCAAAGTTTAATCAAATTAAAGCAAAAAAAAATGCTCGCTTTGAGTTTTTCATTTCGCCGTTGAAACGAATCAAATCTGTTTGCTTTGACTTTGATTTTGTTTTTAAGTTATACATCAAAGATATATAGATAGACGCAAATAAAAGTGTGGAATATGCAGATGTGGTTCTTAGATATTCCATGTTTCCACTCTGCTTAAGTTTATATCGAGTTTAGATTTAGTATGGCTGGATTTTAAATGCACGACTGATGGCTCTTTCAAGCAGACTAAAAGACATTTTCAAGTTTACTTTCCATTCCTCAATGCGGCTCTTTTGGGGCTACTGCTGCCCTCCTTTATGGCCCATACAGAGCGTCCTTGCTGGCACATTTAACATACACACTTGTACCCATTTCCGCGAGTATATTTTATTTCCAGCAGCGCATTTGTGTGCTCTGAAAAGTGAAAGCAGCTTCAACCATATAAAAACACGCTGCCACAAAAAGTCACACGCAAATGCGCACTTTGCTTTGCTTTGTGTGTGTTTGTCGTGTCCCTTCTGGGTACCTTTCTGGCCCGAGCATTATCAACCATGCGTGAAAATCAGGACATGAACGTGAGAGGAGGGGAAGGGGGGCTTTGCTCGCGCTTAGCCTTCGCCAAACTAATGATGATAAGCCCGACCTGTATTCAGGTATCCTTTATGGCCTTCATATAATGATAGCCATCATCATAGGAGAGCCCAATGTGCAGCGGCATTTGAGTGTGAATGTTTTGATAAGCATTCAGAATTTGCTGTCAATTGAATTCTATTCAGAAAGCCAGTCGAACGTAGATGCTTTGTATATATTTTCAAATTTACGAGAAAGTATTGTTAGATTTTTAAGAATGCTGCTATCGGGTTTTTTTGTAATAATCCTCGTGATCCTCCGCACCTCGGTGGCCCTTGAGGTTATTCCCCACGACAGCAGCTGCCTCCCATTTCAGAACACTCCAATGAAGCAGCTCTGCAAGGGGACCTACACCACCGATCTGTTCCTGCGCTACCAGGACAGACTGGCTGCCATAAATGGCCAATACAAGATATTTTACCACAACCAGGGAGCTGCCTACTTCCTGTTGGTTTCCTTCAACGAATCCCCTCTGCAGTGGTGCAATAGCACCATTTTAATAGACGACAGTCTGGACTTCTACTGCGGCGGAAGCCGCAGCCCCCTACTGCTGCCCGGCTCGATGATCTACTGCCAAATCTACCAGATGAGCTACATAGACGATCTGGTGCACGAGTGCACCAACCCGAAAATCAGCAACTTCCCCACTTCGGACGGATCGACAGCTGTTCACTATGGTGCCATCTCCCGCTGGAGCACACAGGATGAGCTAGAGTTCGGACTGGGCCTGCATTCGGCGGCAGAGGGCCATCCCGGACCGTACCGCTTCCTTGCGGTGCTAATCTGCCTGACACTGGCTCTACTCTCGAAATGACTTGTCATTTGTCATACACAAATAAAGTTCGAAATTTAAGTTGCTTCAAAATGCCTTTCTGTTCCATGTTCTTACTCTTTCATATAGTGAAGCAGAGAGGTGACCGGAAGCGTGACCTACTCACGGGCAGAACGATGCCAGTGGAAGCATCCTGTCGGCCTTCAGAGCATCACTCCCTGCCGCCACTTTCATATGGCAGAAAAAACCAAGAGCTGTGCCGCCACCTATTAAAACTGCTGCCCAAGTAAAGACCACTTAACCCAGTTCATATCTGCATCACTGTATAACTTGTCGATAACTTCTGGTAAGCTCTTTAATATTGCTCACTTAAAGCCTTTTTCCTGTCCGTAATTTTGGGCTTCTGGCCAGCACTTGACAGCAGTCAATATTCGACGTTCGACGTTGAATGTTGGGGGATGACCACAGGCCAATATGGCGGCTGGGCGCAGTCCATTTGAGAACATAAATTACGCCAGCGCCAATGACAATGATGACAATGAAATGCGACGCCTTCTCTAATGCCATCCTCCCACTATGCGTGTGTCTGGCAGTAGATTTAGATGTGTGTGTGTGTGTTGGTGTTCAGAACTGCACTTGTCCGCCATTGTTGGGCATGTCTAATGTTTCGGGCCAAACTACAATGAACTTGGGCAAACTGTTTGTTGGAGAGTCAACGCCAACGTTTTGTTTATCCAAACATAATAAGCAGCGTCAGGGATAATGTCTGCAATCTGCTGTGGGTCTGCAGTCCCGCAAACTGTTCGTCCCGCAGAGAGGGTGGCAGCGCAAAGCATGAAGAGAGGATCGTGTCTATTCTATTTTATTCATCTAAAAGTACCAAAATGTAGTGGTCCAGCAGCAATACAACGCCGAAAGAAGCACAAGGAAAACAGAGGCCCTCAGATCCGGCACCGAATCGATGATCTTGATAATATTGTGCTTCATATATACCATGGCCACGGAAATGGTGTTCGTATTGGATGGATACTCAGCGTTCATGCACCTCCCGTAGAGCATCTCGGCGTAGTCGAAGGGGAATTCGAGACAGTGGACCTCCGCTGCACCCGTCAGGGGCACAAAGTAGTTCTGGCCGTCGCAGTAGAACTTGCCTTTGTCCATCACGAGGGTGAAGCAGCTGGATATGGGCGAGTCGTAGAAGGCGACCAGCAAAAAGACGGGATCAATGATGTCGGAACGCTGCCAGATGGTGTAGGGCGTGTCCATGGTGGGGATGCGGTCCTTGTACATCAGATGCATTTCTCGATCGTATCTGCCCTGGCACAGATACTGCAGGACGAATCCGTCGAAGAAGGTGCAGTTCTCGTAGTCCGCTCGGACGGGTGGTATTGGCCGGCCGACCAGCAGCACCAGCAGCAGCTGCAGCACCAGCAGAAGGTGCAACCTCGAGCAATCTATCCACTTTAAAAACAATCTTTGTGCGCATTGTGAGCGCACTGGCATTGCCTATTGGAAAAATGATGCGATGATCATTTTCAGAGAATTTTTTCTGTCACTAGAAACACGAAAAGCAAAGTAAGTGAGTCCGAACTCCAGGCCCACTACACACGACCAGCAGACCCTGAGAACGAGGTCCGCATATAGTCCAGATTACTCACAGCATAGCGAATGGTTTCAGCTTCAGTTTTTTGCTAGCAGGATAGCTGGAAGGAAACGTTCACTGGCCCGCGTTTGACTGCCTAAAACAGCAGCACCAGACGATGTCCCATGAAATCTCTGTGGAGTACTGGCACTGGCATGGCACAAATGATCTGAGCACCAAATTGACTGAAAAATCGCTGCACACAATCTTTCGGTAGGTAGTTAGATTATGTCTTTAATCGTAAAAGGGAGTGGAGGTCTTTAACCTAGAGTGAATCCAAAAGCTGGAGCATGGCCAGCAGCACGAACATCAGTTCTTGGGGGCGATTCCTTGCTGTGGACAATCGCGAGCGCGTTTTATATCTGTCGTGGGCGTAGTGGATGACTGGGTACTCGGTAATCTCATTTGGATTATAGGCTTTTCCCATGCAACTGTTTTTCAGATCGCTCAAGTAACGGAGTCCGATCTTGAAGCAGTGCACAGTCCCGTAGGGGAAAATCAGCGCCACCGTCTTCCCGTTCTTGTTCGTCGCTATAAATGTTCCCTGCCGCGACATCTTGATTCTGCTATAGCTCCACATGTCCGACTTGTAAAACGATACCAGGAACACTGTACGGTCAGTCCAAATGGTGAAGGGGGTGCCGTGGGGCGCCCGAAAGTCCCGCCACCGCAGAAATGTGTCAGTTTTCACCGTGCCACTGCAAAAAATCTCCAGGTCGGCGTGTTTTGCGTAGTGGCAGTTGCCAGTGTTGCGTGCGTTCGGCGGGGGCTGGGCCGCACCTTGAGCAGGGGACAATCTTAACAGCACAAACAGCAGTACCACGGGCTGCAACAACTGGAGCAGCATCCCGCAGATACTGAATTTAAGAAGGATTCGAGTAAACAAAACAGTTTAAAAGTACAACTCTATCTGACAGGAACATCAAGGGCTGCCCCTTTCGATCAGCAGCGGATCAGAGTAGCAGGAAAAGGTACGGGGGATGGGCCTTAGGCAAAGTTTTCGTTTTCATCAACACTCATACAAATGCACAAATCAATATTCAACAAATAAACCAAACTAGTGAATGAGTTTTTCCATTCGCCCCGACCAGGGGCAACTTTTGGAGCAAGTTTTTGGAAAAACTTTTGCCAGCCAGAGACGACGACGGAAAACTTGTTTCAAATTAATCAAAGTAATTAAAAATTCTTGCAAGGTTTTCCAATGAATTTCGTTTTCCAAGCACATACGCACAAAGCCGGATGGAGAGTGGAGAATAAGAAAGAGGGAGGAGCGGAGCATTTCAAGCATTTAATCTCTTTCAAATGTAACGTCGTAACGTATACGCCGTGTTAAGCGCTGCCAGACCGCAGCCAGGACCTCTCGACTTTGATTACTTTCACGTCCCAATGGACGTGCGAAGACAAATGGAATAAGCCGGGGCTAATGAATAAAACTGATAGACCGCAAAGTTTCATTCCGTTTCATTCGTTTACTCATCAATTTGAAATTTGTAATCAATCTGAATCGCTTACAGCAACACTATAGTTAGACCACATTCGAATGGGAATGATCAGCGGCAGGACCAGGATCCTACAGGCCTCCTACACTATATGGATGTTACACGCGGTGAAACATTCCCTGATATGGCTCCGTTTTAGCTGGCATGCTCCTTGGCTTCTGCAGCAGCAGTTGGTGCTTCGTGTGGCCATAACATCCCTCTATTTGAATTAGCGGAATAACATAGAAACACAAACGTTGCACAAACGTAGTCGTAATTTTGATTGTCCAAAAAACTGCTCAACCATGGTGAAGAGATGGGTGATTGAAGCTTCAACGTTAAAGACTTATCAATGGACAATACCAATGATGGCCCACACTCGGATGAGAAGGATTGTTAGCAGGAGCGGCGGCAGCCAATCTCCGCGGAAACGGAACGCTGAGTCCGAATCTTCCCTTTTTGGACCCTCCCTGGCGTAGTGGAGGACTGGCCTGGTGCAAATTGTTCCATGGACGAACTTCTTTCGCTTGCAATGGGCCAATAGGTGGCTATTATAGACGTTGTAATCTGCCAGGCAGTGCAGATCAGAGTGCTTCAAATCGACATCGATTTTGTACTTAATGATCTCGATGTATTTGCGGTTCAGCATTGGTGAAGTATGAAAGGAGGCGAGGATCATGTCCGTCTCATTCGGCACGACCCAAAGGCTATAGGGAGTGCCCGAGGGTGCTCTTATATCCCCATAAAGACCTGCAATTCTCTTCGAGACGGTCGCCTTGCAGATGCGCATCAGACGAATTTTTTCGATGTAGGAGCACTCGCCATCGTTATAGTTCGAGGTCCTAATGCCATGATTTGCCTCAACGAGGAGTAGTAGCAGCAGAATTTTTAAAATCATCTGGAATTTTTTAATTTTTTTGAATAGTGTCAATGAAGTTATCTGAATGACTGCTCGGTCATGGGAGAGTACCTAATCCAAGCCCCCTCCCCTACAGGGGTTCTCTGCTGTTTCAATCAATGTCAAGTCCATCTCAGCTCAGGCCTCAACTGTAGCAAGTACGTGCTACAAGTGAGCGCCTCAATCGACGCTCAAAGTCGGGCGAAAGTTGAAAAGAAAATTCCACGTTAAATTGATTTACATACTTGTAGACGAAGGAGCAGGAGACAAGGAGGGACCTCGGCACATCGCAGTGCAGCAATAAAGCACAAGGAGGCGGAGAAAATAAAATAAAAGATGAAGGACGTATGCGAACGAATTTACTTTCAATTTCGCTTCAATGACAATTCCTTTGATTTAACTCCTTTTTATGAGATTTCCAAGGCCCGAGCAGGTCCCGGCTCTGGCTCTGACTCTGACTCTGGACTTACGGGGCTGATGCTGACTGGTGGGCTTGGCCCTTGGTCCTTCAGTTTTCTCTGCTTTTATTATGTTACAATAATAAATTGTATTAAGTGTATTTGCGCAGTGAAGCGGTCCGAGAGGCAGTACATGGCTTGAGGAGTGACAGGATGCAGGACGCAGGTGTATTGACTGGAATATTTGTGTATGGAAAAAAGCCAGGGAAAGCCAAAGAAAAGAACCGAATTAAGTCAACGGAATGCCAAACCAGGCGTTGAATGAAACGAAACCCCTTCTGGCGCACGTTCAAAGCCAAAATTACAATTCCATCTCGCAGGTCCTCTTCCTTCTCCCCTTTTTCTGTGTATAGTTCAATGCCAGCAATGCTCAATTTTGCCGACGGCAACGCCCACATCCCCACACACACGCGCACACACACACACAAACACACACACACACACACACACACACACACGCAAACACCATTATCAATCGAAGGGGCCTTTGTGCTGACTTCATTGTAATCTTAATATATGTCACATGACTGACAGCTGACGATTGCTCGAGGCACGGCATTCTCTCTCTCTCTCTCTCTCTCTCTATCTCTCTCTCTCTCTCTCTCTCTCTCTCTCTCTCTCTCTCTGTCAGTGAAGGCAGGTGGTGACGGCTCTGCCTGATCCTGACACATTGCCAATGCACTGAATATCGCAGACAATCGCAGATTGCAAATGATGTACCCGCTGACGGAGCATTGTCAGAGCTGAAGAGCAGCAGCTGCTCACCATACGCGTGTAGCAGCTCCTTTCTCCATCCCTCCGCCAATCAAGCCAATCAAGACGTGTTCCAAAGTTAAGCGCAAATACAAGCAGGGACAAAAAACGCCAATTACTAGCAGAATCAATTAGACAAAAAGCAACGAACGGAACAAATTGGACCATGCACGAGTGCCAGGGTATGGGGATCGACAAATAAAACTTATATAGAACAAAGGACACGTCCCATAAACGAAAGAAATGACTTCAGGTACGGGTAGAAACACCTGTACAGGGACAAGGAAAGGGAGGGTGAACACGTTGAACAAATATGAAAAGATGACTCAAAACAACCAGCACCGACCAGACCTGCAGATGACGAGCGACTGCGGAGTGGAGCGAATCAGAATCAGGACTCTGACTCCGGACTACAGACAAACTAAAGCCAAGCCCCGAAGAACCGAAGATGGAAGACAAGTGCTTTAGGAAATAATTCCATTAGCAAAATAAATAAACAAAGGCGAAATGAATGATTGAGTAGAGCCGAGAGAATTAAATGGAGACTTCAAGTCCTTCAGTTTCCCAGCCTTGGAGGCGGAGGTCCTTCTCCGGTGTGTGCCCTCCGTCAGGGCCAGCGGTGTAGCAGAGCCGTTGGTGCCCGACAAAGGTTAGCGGGGCTACAGATGAAGGCGTCGCGTGCATAAACCAAATGCAAACACATACACAAGCTCTGAGGTCTCAGAAGATGTCACTCGACTGCGGCTGTAGGGCACACGAGGCGAACGGACTGGCCGAATACATATTACATGAGCCCACACCCGTCGCGATGGCGCGTACACATATTGACCCATTTCGATGGCACCCGACAGACAATCCAGACCGCACTCCCACACCCACACCCACACCCGTCGCACAGCCAGAGATGGTCATGGAGATGGAGGACAGGTGTACAGAGAAGCCTAGACCTCAGCATGAGCATCTGAGTATATTCGGTTAATAAAGTCAAATGCCACCAAAATCAAAAGGAAAATGCCACTTACGACTAATGGCATCAGGGCATCAGGGTGTGGTCTTGCTGCTGGTCCTCCTCCTGGACTCCTGCCAGCAGCAACCACAGCATCAACAAGAGCCTCGGGCCCGACCCCACTAAACCTCAGGCAGCACTCAAGCAACGTCAACGTGGGCGTACTATAGTTTGGGAAAATTGGTGGATTTTTAATTGTATTAACATGCCTCAGTCAGGGACAGATCTACGACCATTTCAGGGGCAGCACGATGCAGAGCCCAGGCTTCAGTCTGTGTCGTGTGTGTGGCACTTAAGTACGTACCCCCAAATATTTGATATTGCCTTATTTGATATTGCTCTCAGTTTGAGTGCCGTTCAATGTTGTTCGGCGGCATGCAAATACTCATAGTTCAGGCACATCTGAATGCGGGCTTTTCCGCATAAATAATGTCTACAAATGGACTCTCGAGAGAGTTCGATTCTGGTTAGTGGAGCTCTTAGGTTTATAACTAACTTAAAGCTTAATCTGTTCAAGCTCTTCAATCACTGAAAGGAACAGCCAGTCGCTGGAGTTGAGAAAACATTGAAGCTAAGTAATGAACTTTTTGAATACAGTTTTCATTTGGTTGGGAGCTCCCTGTGCTGACCCTCAACCAGATATGAGTAAGTCCCTATAATTTTACCTGCAACAAGGCAATATTAATGTCCGATGGAGAAGTATGCATGGCATTAGGATTGGCTGGTAATCGGGATCTTCTGCTGATTGCATTTATCCAGATTTTCAACTAATAAAGAATGGTCACTAGGAATCAAGAATATTCTGATAGAATATAATTCATCTGGGGACCTCATCACGGGGACATATTGAGAGACTCAAATTGATATATTGCTTCCTCCGTGAAATCTGCTTATAATTTAGTTTGTCCTTCCAATGAGACGTCACGAAGCCAGGCGCACCTTCCACCTTCCATGTGCCACTGCCACTTCCACAACAATAGAGGCAAAGCCAAGCCGGGACCGTTATAGACGCCGGAAAATTATTCCCTGTCAGGACACACGCTTCGCCAGGCATCGTATGTGCGTGTGTTCGAGTAAAGGATTCAGGAGGACAGCAGAGGATTGCGTGTCTGCCAAGTCGTCGACCGAAAATCAAAAGAAAATTGATATTGGGAAATTGCACGAAATGAGTAAATGAAGCCCTTGGCAAGAGGCAAGTGAGGCAACATCAGTGCGAGGGCCCGCCTAATGGACGTGCAGGGCCCGTCGTCTGATTGCCACCTCGAGAAAAATATGTATTAAAAATTCCACGAAAACTAATCAATGTCAAATGTCCTTTGATTGTACTCCGTCGACGTCGACGGCATAGATAGATAAGAACCAGGAGCCGCCAAAAACCGACTCGAACGGAGGAAGGATTTAAAAGCAACGCCTTGACACCGTCGACTCGCGGCGGTAAACGAACGCGTGGTAAGCAGAAATTAGAAAATAATTTGCTTTTGTCGCTGGTAATTTATTGGATGCCATAAATTGGCCGGGGCTTGCCCTAGGGGAGTGTCCGCGATGGGAAGAAATTGAAAACGTTAAGAGTTTTACGATCTCCACAAGTTATCTGTTCATTAAAGCTCTCCATTAACCCTGCTCCTACTGCCGATTCATTTGAGCTTCGATTAAGGGGGTAAGGTAAACTGTTTTAATTGCAAATTTTCCGCTCAATAAGTCAAAGTAAAGTAGGAATCTAAACAATGGATGTCTGTTTGGCTGGCTGGCTAGATGACTGTTGGTTCATAATTCCCACAATAATAAATCAACCGCATCTATCCGACAGAGCGAAAGAGAGAGACAACATCCATATGTGGATGAGCAGCTGTGGCTGGAGCTGTAGCTGGAGCTGTGAAAACCATCAAATGACAATCAGCTTGGACAAAGGGAAAGCTCTGCTAAAGAGAGGACGCTATTGGGTGAGCGACAACCAGAAGGGTTAGGGCTATGGCTTAACAGAGCTTATCCCAAATTGAAAACTCGATAATGTCGTTCCCCTTACCCACACCTTAACAATTCATTTAGTAATCGCGTTTGCCATTGTGGATGGACATTTCTTTCTCACAGTGATATTGCAGTATTAGCAAACAAAGTTCGAGTACTCGGATTGGAAATGGTTTCCTTTCCGTTGCGCATCATCATCAAATGTGCATCGTTGACATTGAGTTGAAGTCATCAACAGTTCGTTTGCTCCCTCTTCCATCTGTCAGCTGTCATATTGACATTTCTACTTAACATCCTTGCTCGCTGCTCAATTTTTAATCGGGTTTTTCGATCCGCTTACCCTCTCCCTCTCCAGCCAGGAGCCGTAGCCGTAGCCAGGAAGCGGCGGAAGCAGCAAACTCATTATTTTTATTAATATGATTTACGCTGCACTTCACTTCATTTCACTTCACTTCGCTTCGCTTCGGTGTGCAATTTGTGCATTTTGTAATTTTAATTTTCATATTTAAGAGCAGATCCAGAACGATGATCCGATGATGCGACGGTACGTATCAGAGTATATGGCTCTGACAGGGCGCGCCAGTGTCAATACATCTCATTGTTCTCTCCAATGAACAGCATTTATTTGCAATTATTTGTTTTAAGCATTAACAAAAGGACTTCGGATGGCTCACGGACTGCTCTAGAGTAAATTATATACTTTAAGACCTCAAGGGAGAGCGCTGAGCTGCTCAAATGAGCAGCAGCCTAGACAGACAGTCAGATAGGCCAGAAAATGGGGGCTCTACCCTGACTGCGTCGGCATCGTATCACAGTTG